AGTATTCGTTCTAGGGCCCACACGCTATCAGCTGATCGCCGAGTGAAGAGGCGATGTTTTTCTCCCATTCTTTTATTCTCTATTATTCTTTTTGCTTCTGCGATCCATGTTCTAATTTTCTACCTCAGGAGTCTGAAAAAGGTGGACTATTTATCTGTAACTAGGGTTTTTTGTTATCTTATGAATATGAGTGAATGAATTTCTGCTTACCGTAGTCAGCTATTCGCTCCAGGACCCATACGCGCGTAATGATTCACATTGTATAGCTCGTCCAAACGCCCCACTCTTCTTAATTTTCCCGGTCTCATCCTCGTCCAGCCCCCTTTTTAGCGATTTTTTAAAGTTTATTTCATTTTGAAAACATCGAATCGCGCAATTTCTTCGCATTCATCGCACTATTTTCTATCGTCCATTTCCGTCATAATATGGATTACCCAAAATTATCGTGACTGTAAAGGTAATAAATGTAAGAATGGTTAAGAAGGGTCTTGACTAGTTGAAATACTTATTGTTTTACTCCACACTATGACAACAAGGAATCAGTCTGCTTTTGATTCCCGAATTCGGTCGCTGTAGAAAGGACTTTGTTTTAGGGTATATTCAGACACCGTCTGTTGTGATAAGAACTATACAAACAGGCTTGCCTAGTCTGATGTTTTGCCAGGGCCAGATGGTCATAGACGTTAGATTGTGGAAGGCTGTAAAGCGTCGATCCGAATAGTACTGAGCGAGAAAAGAAAAAATCCGATAATAACAGAGGGTCAAATAAAAGGAGAAAATCGGCAGAACTTTTGAGACCTGTACAGCATTGTCCTCATTATTGTAGGCTAACACTGAGAATGTACAAGAGTAATGAGGAAAAAGTGATTTGGACGATTCCTTGTTTGCTGTTATCAAATACCGAGTCCAGTTTTTTCATGTTAGCGTCGTCACCTCATTGTCTCGTCACTTTGGAGGTGTGACTGTCAATAGAAAGCTTGTGATACACTTCGGTTTGAGTACATGGTTCGCTATAGAAATGTCACATGTCATCGTTGTTGTTAATTGGTACTCGGGCACATTAGTCAGCAAAGAATAATTTAAAAATAATGGCCAATACTAACATGATTAGTGGGTGAGTACAAGACGGTTGTTCCCGATCAGAAACCCAATGGAAGAGCCAAATTCCAGTAGCAAAAGCTATTTGAGGTGTATGTTTCTCATGCTTGCATAAAAAATTTTAAGTAGTTGGGGTTTAAAGAATGAGTAAGAGAAAAGACTTTACTTTTCCACTTTATCAGCTTAAACATAGAAGAGTTCGGGAAGAGTTTGTTGTAAGGTAACTATTCTAATGATGGCATCCGCTGCTAAGCTGTTCGAGCCCCTAGTTGACAGCGACACTTGCTGTCAGCGCTTGATAACAATCAAGTGATTTTCAAAAAAAACCGTCACAATGTGTCAATTCCAGTACGTATTGTCCTAATTTTGCTCTAGGATGACAGCGGTTCAGTACCATTGATTCACTCAAGGGTTTTGTACATAATTTGTTCGAATCCGACAAAGCATTTCCACTACGCTATGGGCAGAAATGCAAATTTCATTCCCAGGAGGAGGGGGTGCTGAGGACAGAGGAACCAATAGTAGCATCGGACAGGAGGTGTTTGATCTCGTTAGAAAACTTCATGTAACATGGAGATCTTCTTTTTGCACTGTGTCTTCTTGGGCTTAGAATATAATTCCTCGGTAGGATGACCTCCTAGATATTCGTGATCAACACATTTCGCTGGGATGTTGATGCTAACACATTTCCATTTGTTGTTGATCAGCAATAGCTTCGTTAACAATCACAATAACAAACATCTGATTGATTATTTCCCTTCGAGTTTTGAGCTTGATACATATTTACGATTCGTGGCTTGAGCGGATTGCAAGTAAGAAATAACAGCCTTTGTCGGTACTGATCTATTGATCGTTTTGAATAGATTATTTGCGGAATGAGAATAAGTTTTGGACTAGCACTTAGCACAGGTGTTTAGTGCTCATGTCTTCTCACCATTTCCTCCATCTCTTTCGCCCTCTCTCTCTTGACACTTCACCCATCTCATTCTTCTCCTTTCTCTCGAGAGAATTATATCCATCACTGCAGCATTGGCTGATTCTATAATACTATCAAAATTAAATAGGCAAAAAAGAAAATTATAAGGGGTCCTTCCAAAGCCTCTGGGAAGCAATCTTAAGAAATTGGTGTTCCGTTTTCTAAACTAGCTTGTTCCCATTCAATGATTCTACTTGGTTTTCTTATTATATCGAAGCCAAACATCGATATTGTACCCTCAAGTACGCTTTTGTTCCTTACTCGTAATCTGTGGGTGGCAAAACCGAGGTCACTCATTGACAGGCATCTAATCAACCTCATACTTCATCACTTTGGATGAAAATAGCCATTCTGACCGACGCAGAACAACTATTTTCATACAAACTGAATGAATCGATAACTTACACCGATGTAACTGCCGTTGCTCGATGCATAGCCACACCGTGCTCAACCTCCGCTGAGGGAACTATCCATTGCTAGGAATAAAGTGATTTTCTGCGGTTCTGAGAATATAAGACACATCTTGAAGGGCTGAAGGGATCACTACAAAACTATGAGGCGAAACAGAACGTATAGTGAATGCCAACAAAAAAACTAAGAACACCTTACTTGTCAAGCGTGGGATCGTGCTACTATTTGGACTTTATGCTGGTAGCACACATTTTTTGTTCTATGATAATTTACGACGTAGTGTGAAGTAAAACTGGGGTTACTGTGAGGGCCGGGATCCGTAATGAATTTACGCTACTGTCAGATATTCGCTGAGACACTGCTCCATGAGAATATGGTTTACTCTTTTCTAACGTTTTAACTGGTTAACATTGACCATTCAAGATTACTTGCCGCAAGCGAAATTATTTCCCAGCAGAAAATAGGAAGTATTGGGCCATCTCCCGGCTTCTCATAGAGGATCTGTGGATAACTACGAAGAAATTCCACGTCTCACTGATGAATGCCACAACGCTTTTTTATCTAGGGATGCTGAAACTGAAAATCATGTGAAAAGCAGGGTTCAAAGGTGTCATGTGTTCATGAAGTCTAGAAAGACGTTCTGCCGTAGGGCCACAGTAATTCGACTCTCTCAAGTTGGTCCGCCACCTCAAAGTGCGAGGGTGAAACGGGCGACATATGTGCCTAGTGTCCAACGTAGTATCCTACGTTGAACACTCCTAGTTTGTATGTAATAACAATGACAATAACAATTTCGCATTTTTCTTCTTACTACTTTCTTTTCAGTTTTTTACATTTTATCGTGTGCTTTAATGCTAGAGTGTCTGTAAGTTCACGAGCAGTTTGATACGGATCGGCTTCCACCTGGCTCAGCAGTACGTCCTTAATTGGGCGTCCCGGATGGTCTTCACCTTCGATGAAATAGTCGCTCAACGCCAACTTCGAGTGTCACTTGTAAATTGTGCTTTTAACAGACGCGTCCTCCTTGTAAACTTCCTTTGTACGTCTATCGATTGCCGCGAGTTCTTGGACAGGTAGAGAAAGAAATAGGATGGTGTTGTGAAGGTGAAGTTGCGACGTCATGAAATCACGGGGATGGTTGCAGGAAAGGAAACAATGAGGTGTGTTCGCTAGCATGGATTTGGACTATCTAACGATGCCCCGCGCGCCCATTTTCGTCTCCTTCTTCCCGAGTTATGATCCCTAGAAGTCATCACTATCACTTTGTCAGAGGACTTATGACTCAACCTAATAGCATAATTGATCAATAATGGCTACTTTGTTTTCTTTGGTCTTACGGTTTTTCAACTCTAAGGAACGAAAGTTGAAGGGATGTATTGGGAATATATCTGTAAAGGCAACGGTCATAATGGCAAGCGATTTTGATCTATTACCAGTTCATAGTGGGCTGCAACTCACTACTCATTTTTCGGAAGAAAAGGGAAGAAGCCTGAGTGTTTATCAGGGTGTGTCGTAGTGTTGTTGACTGGAGACTCATAATTCCCGTTTCCCTGAAGCTAGAGCGTTCAAATTCGATAGGTGTACAGGATGGAAACACTGATTGTAGATGGCAGGACTGGATTCTCCCAACAGAGGACGGGCCTGCGGATGAATTATGAACTTGGACCTAGACCGCTTAACTTTGAGAAAGGTACATGTGTCAGCATTGGAATGCTGCCTGTAGGTGGACAACTAGACCCCATCCACAGGGGTGTGGTGTGCCCGAAAATTATTGATCTGGATCTGGGGCCTCTAAGTTTGATAAGGGTACAGGCGGCAGTGCGGGAGTGCTAAAAGCAGGTGACACGACTGAAGTTGAAAGAAGGGAGGGATGAACTAACTAATGAAGGGTGAGGCGCTCGCGAAGTGTGTGTGTGTGTGTGTTTGGCCGGAAATCTATTGATCCTGTTCTCCTGTACCTGAGCGTCCAAATTTAGGAGGGAAGCGTGAGCGATTGACCAATTCCATGAGAACGAGGAGAACTCGGCGTTAGCCAAGAGATCCGACAGTTATTTATATAAATCTAAATAAATATATAATTAGCACTCCGGCGTCTATATGTCCACACCGCCGACACTGAGTCACCTCAGCTCCCTCTGATCCCTCTGATCTAGTGTATCCATAATCGCGGAGAAGTCCTAGCCAGGACCAGTGCTAAGATCCTAGGAGAAAACTTGCAAGAAAAAAAATAGAACGGCCTCAGCACCCCTCACACTGGGCCCAGCCGCAGTCGCGTCGCGGTGTAGCAGCGGCGAGAAGTGAAGAAATCTTGGATTGCACAGGGCGGTTTGAATTTTGGCTACGACAGCACTACCTACATACGACGCGGATACTGTCTCCTACTTCATATCCACAATTCGAGATCAGCCTCTCCCAGGCCGTTCTCCATGAGCTCCTCGTGGCGAATAGTCACATTAATCAAGTATCATGTCATTGCGCTGTACAAAATGAATCGGAAGGGACTGACGTACGACGAATGACTGATGGAACTCTTATCACTCGTAGTGAAAAGCCTCTATCATACCACGAAACGTGGCAAGCGTTGGCTTTGTTACACGCCTGTATGTCGTCAATCTCGTCGACCCTCACGGGATTCCGTCTCCTCGCTTTGCCATCCTACGCCTACGACATGCGAACCTGAAGACCATCATTATCGTCGACTGCAGTTTTCCACATTCTGCAGTTTACGAAGTAGAATACGATGTATTTTACGACCAGCAGGAGGAGTTCATCCAAAAGTTTTTCTACAAACTCGTTGTTGGAGATGTCAACCCTAAGCTTGGCGAAGCATTAGAGGAGGAATGCGGGATTGGCAGGTTTGCAATAGAGGGCAGAAACGGGACGGAAACTGTCTGGCTGGACTTCCGACCGCGATTTGAGTATCATATATCATATTTTCCTTTTCCCAAAAGAAGGAACATCGCCGCTAGGGTGGCACAACCGTTGCTGGACTGACAACCGAATTAACGATTAGAAAGTGCTGCTTACCGAATGCTGATGTTGACAAACTTTCTGCAGTGGTTCTCGTTATCGAATTCTTCGCGCTAAGACCAGATTCAATCACGAACCGGAGACAATCTTCCAACATCGCGCAAAGAGCTCGAAGCAAGTTGTATACGATGGACGGACGGGTTTTTTTTTNTTTTTTTTTGGTATTACAGGCAGATTGTGGATGACGGTTTCCTCATTTTTGCTGAACAAGCCAGGGCTGCTCGAATGTATAACTCTACTCGCTTTCAGATGCGGATGCGATCAGGGCCTGAACAGGAAAAGAAGAGGCTTAATGCTTGACCAGAACTCCACACATCTGAAAGGCTGTAAGCAAATATTAGGTGCATATAAACAGTCCTCCAGCTATACAGGAGAGTAGACTACTGGGGCAACTGTGAACAGCATTAGGCTGAAGAAATGCCGACGAGACCTCAAGCACCATAGATCTTCACAATCATGTTTCAAAGAGGTCGTATACTACATCACGATTTGAGATGGAGGAGGTTGTACAGAGGTTCTACACTTTAGCGAGCCACGATGCACGTGCGAAATCCAGAAATCTCCACTGGAGGAACACCACTTTGGATCCTTCTTTCGGAGATAAGGGTTTCGATTGCGAGCACGGAAAGGGGCACCACACCAGGCCTTGACAAGGTCTCAGCCGAACTATTACGACCAGGTGGTCACGAACTACAGCACTTCTCGCAACACACGACAACACTTGACGTCCTGCAGCCACGAAGAGAAGATCACCTCCCGTGGGAGAACTCGTGAAAGGTCATTCTTCACAAGAAAAGAAGCCGGGATCTTCGCAACCACGGCATTATATCCTGTAGAGCGTCCTTTACAAGCAGTTCACAAAGATCATTCTGACCAGTCGGGGTCGGGAGAGCGCTCACTAGCTGTTGGGGACTAGTCGGACTGGAGTAATGATTGACCAACCTCGGTCTTCACAAGGTACGGCATTTTGCAATCGATTCTGATGCTTTCAACACGATCTTCAATGAATTTGGAGGGCTCTCAGAATCTCAGAATGCATTAAATTTTCGAAGTTTGAGTGCCGACTCATATCCCAATCACCTATTTTGCAGCGCTCTCATCTTAGTGGGATGCATCACACATTTGACTTTCATAACTAGTGTCCAAATATTCATTTCGTTTACAACATGATTGGATCACCTAAAAGGGGCTCCTCATGTGCTGGCGGTCCAGCGGTTTTTATAAACTCCGGTTACTACGGAGTAGGATAAAACAAGTAAATAATGAGCGTGGATATTACCGCTAGTGAAACGCAGAATAATAACAAATAAGGCTTTATCAAACTACAAAACCTACGTCTCGCCCTTGACGTTGTTACAGGTAGATGTGAGAACCACGCTTTTTGGTGGTCTCGCTTGACCCCGCATCATTTAGGGGCGTGGGAGTCGTCTCAGACGGGAGACGACGAAATAGTTGTAGGGGATCGTCGCCCGTAGACCATGATACCTCATGAGGGTTAACATCTTAAGCTGCTTAACAAATTTGCTACTAAAAAATGAGCTCGTTTGGCTTACGCAGGGTTCCATACACATACCACTGTAGCTAGAATCAATATCATGTTTGCGGTCACTTTGGATTCTTTTGTGGCAAGGGTGAAATCTATCGCCGAAATTAAATTTAACTCCTTGGTTTCTTTCAAGGAGCTCCTATCCTCGGTGCCCAGGGTAGGTTCATGTATTTAAACACCCTTATTCGAAACTAGAGATGGACTACCACCTCTGTTTGCTTATATGATCCTATGAATGCCAATCAGTTTTATTTAAAAAGGTAAAATAAGCCTTTCAACAAACATTAGACAAAACAACACTCATGATTCAATGAGATCTTATTGGCATATGTCTATCAAATGCATGTATGCAAAATGAAAACTTAGCACACGAATAAAAAAATTTTTGATCACTTAGCGAACGCGATAGAGCATCTTTCGCTGCATCTTGTATTGTAGGTCGCCACGTCTGACCATGTTCAGTATCACCTAAAAACGCACATTTCTTAATTTCAAGTTAATTAGACACTGAGAGTTAAGGCGAACCAACTGGTTATAATTACACTGTCGACTTCTTGAAACGTGATTTGAGTAGAGATGACTAATTGGATGAAAAGATATTGCTCTCCAGGAAAAGGTCCTCACCTTCTTGACCAAAGTCTCATTGTAGTGTTGGCGAGTGACAAAATCTTGAACTATGACAAGTTCTGAAACATGGGTCCCAACGGAAAAACGCTTTTTCATTTGAGCTTCAATTCTTTGCATTGAATCCTGATCGACATCGGACGTGAATCCTTCGACGCCTGGGTAAAATCGGTAATAATAAATAAAATTGAAGGTCGAAAAACGCCTTTTTTTGCATGACTCAATTTTGAACAAGAAATTGAAGTTACCTGCAAGATTTCCAGTGGCTGCCGCTTCCAAGGTGGAAACGCGGAACAGACGTAGAGCTTCATCCACGTGCTTATCAACTGCAAAAGGTTGCAGCTCCATTTTTGCCAAGCTTTCGCTCATTCTGATTACTGCTTCCAGTTGACGGACCGTAATGGAAATCGAGGATTTCGCCTTCTTACTCACTGCTCAAATAAAAAGGGTAAGGAAAGGCTTCTTTCAGGATTACCACTCAAAACTAACCGTTGTGATCCGCGTCCATTGGTGGGTTACGCATTCGAACATAGTTACTTGCCAGTTTCTCGCTGGCCTTAACATTCAGTCGAGGACCACAGTTGGCCCTCGCATATGAAACGTATTTCTTCAGAAAACCTAAAATTCAATCATATGGAGTTCCTGGTAAAATGTGGAAGAGCATCTTGTTTTCGGTCGGTGTTGCGAGCGGTCTAACTCTGTTAGAGCAGCAGCGCAAGGAGAGGTGGACAACCTGACGACAGACAGAAGACTACCTCTTCACATACCTCCATATGTTTGTCTTTCATCGCGGATCCCGTTCCCCACTGGACATTCATACCCTAATCTTTTCGTCTTCTCCAACTTTTCCCTTTTTAACCACTTCTTCTAAATACACTCCAGGGAACATGTCAAAATTAACTTGCCTAATGTGAGCAGTCCATCAGCGTCGTACATTTCCGTCTTCGCGTCCACATTAACTTCTTTTTCTACCGCTGCTTTCTCCTTATTCTTGGATGCGTTCACGTGAACGTCGATGACATGTTTTGCTAGTGTCTGGAAATTGTGTGCGATTTTCGGGGAGAGATTGAGATAACACTTCCCACTCGATACCTCATCTCTTTTCACGTCATGGGTATCTTTGACTATGTAGATCATATCGAAACGGGACAAGATGGTTGGCATGAAGTCGATATTTTCGTCTCCCCGAGCATCATCCCAACGTCCATACACCGAGTTTGCGGCAGCCAGAACGGAACATCGCGAGTTCAGAGTTGTAGTAATACCCGCCTCAAAGTATTTCATGCCACTGCTTATTAAATCATACACTAACGAAAAAAGAACACTGGATATAATCGAATTATTCTTGCCATTAACTTAATTCGAAAAAGATGAGAATCGATTCCGTCTTCGCAAACCTTAGCAATAGAGATTGTTTGTTGCTCCATTGCTTCATGAATAGCGACACGATCGTCTTCACGCATTTTGTCAAACTCATCAATACAAACGACACCACCATCCGCCAACACCATCGCTCCACCCTCCATCATGAATGTGCGCTAAATCCCCCCATTTTTGTTGATTTAGAGTTGGTGATCTTCAAATAGCTCACCGATTGTGGGTCCCTAATCACTGATGCGGTGAGGCCAGCTGCCGACGAACCTTTTCCAGAGGTATACACACCGATTGGAGCCACCTTAACGAATAAGTGAAACTCAGTGGAATCCCTGAATGTAAATGCATACCTGTTCAACAAACTTCAAGAGCTGAGATTTAGCTGTACCAGGATCCCCAAGGAGCAGCACATTAATATCACCTCGTCGTGTAAGACCGTCAGGAAGTCTGAACCAGGGCTTTTTAAAACTTCCGGTCGCAACATAAGCATCGCGAATAGATAAGAAATGAATCATCAGACCATTATCAAACAAAACTAAAATTTTGACCTATACTCAAAAAATACCTTTTTCTGGATCCACCAAACAATAGACAAGCAATGGACTTTTTTATGTCCACCGATCCATAGATAGATGGTGCAATACTCTTAGCGATCAACTCGTAAACATCGGGTCGCTGGGCCAACTCTCTGTATAACCTCAGTTTGAATAAAAGCAGTAGTTTAAAAACATTATTTGAAGAAAATACTCAGATCGTTAGAAACATAAAACTCTAGAAAATGAATTCCAATATCACCCACAGTAATATCAATTTTTACCTTCTTCTATAACTTACTTGAAATTACGCTCTTCCTCCGAAGTAAACTGCGTAAATTCAGCTCGTCCAGGACCACCAACTTCTACGTTGATACCAAGAACTCGGAGGTACGGTGTTCTGATGCCAGTCAGCGTCTTGTCGCTGCCTCCCTTGCTCTCAAATAGATGATGATACCTTTGTCTTTAGATACCGAGCAAGAAATTCGAACCTTTTGAAATAATTTCTTGATCGAGAACACTCCAACAAGTGTGACGCGGTTTCCTGGAGCTACTTTGTCAGTAAGATACCTTCAACGGTGTTTAGCTCAGAAACCTCGATTGTTGAGTTGAAATCAAAAACAAATCGCCAATTAATTTAGCCATCTTACCTATCACAATACAACTGTAAATGACGAGGCATTTCACCATGTGGAACATCTTCAGGGTTCTCTTGCAGTTTTAGAGTTTGGTAATCCACACATTGACATTTATCAGGCACAATATGGTAGGGATCGATAGGGCATCGTTGAAGCTGTCCAGTTTGTGAGCTGAAAGTGCCAAAAAATAGACGTTGAACTCTGGACTTTCCAAATAATAAAAAACTGTGGCCTACGCTCCACATGTCCTTGGAAGTTGGAAACCCTCTAAGCCTGGCTTTAGGATTTGATCACTAATAGTATGGCGACATGTTCGACATTGCAAGGTAATTTTAGTTGCTTTGGCACGAACCTTGAATAAATATCTAATAAGTATACTAAAATGAAAAAACGTAAGAGTACACCATGAAAATGCAATTCAACTTGGTAATTTATGAGTACCTGCGAAGCTGCTACAATGATCCCAGATATTTTTACAATTTGAGAGACTTGAGCACTTTTTACTCTTCGTATCGATGTAGGATATTCATCGAAAGTCAGACAGACCTAAAACGTTGAATAAAAGTTTTGCGTGCATGATATATCAATTGCTGAATATATATATATATATATATATATATATATATATAGCGCCTCCACAAGAGAGGAAAAAAGAGCAAGGTTAACCTGTATATCTTTCATTTCCTTTTCCTCTTCTGATCTCGGTGCAGTAAGTTCATCAGCTACAGTACGTGCTGCTTCTTCAAACTGTAAAGTAGAACGTACAAAAACGATCTCGCGAGCAATTTAAGATAGAAGAGCTCACAGCTGGAAGAAATTTTCCTGGATGAGTGCGTAATTTAGATTCAGCATCTTCATCAAACTGTTTCAAATGGGTAAGGTTCACCTCGAGCATGTAGTACTTAGCGTTATAATTCCTCTTGAGTTCGTCACTGAAAAATACATCGCAAAAGGGGAAATTGAAAAATAAAAAATAATATACCGATAATGAAGTCCACCGGTTCCTCCAATAGAAAACTCTCTGATGAATCGACGAAACTGCTCGCAAATTTGACGATATTCCGCAATGATCTCACGTCCCTGATCAGGAACCCCATCGTTGGCAAAAAAACGCTCCTCAAATAGCAGTCTTTTTGGAAGTGAAGGGAAATTAGTCAGTCGTTAGAACTGGAGGTAATAATGGTAATAATGTAGAAATGAAATGTAGTTATGGCTGTTGTTTGGGGGGGGGGGGGGGGGGGGGAGGTGAAAGGCACCGTCCTTTTCCAACAATAATAGAGCGCAGAGAATGGGCAGTTGACCTCACTTAAGTTCGGAGAATGCTCCTAGACAAAAGAATATGGTTTTTACCTAACCTTTAGTAGGAGAGAAGCACATGCTTGAGTGTGAAGAATTCCTCTTGCAGAAAGCTGAAATCAGACGACTCACCCACCCCCGTGTGTTCCCTTCCTTCTGAGGCTTCGTTCAAATAAACTATACTTCTCTGATAAAAAATGTTCCCTCCCTAATTTCCAGGACTGAGCGACAGATGTGGAGAAGAAAGAGTAGCCTACTTTGCGAGCTCATAACGGGGAATTGGTGCTCAGGGACCAGGGACGTTTCTCCCCCGTTTTCTGTCACTGCATTGGTGTGTTATTATGAACCATTAAAGGCTAGCCTGCCCGATCTATTGAACAGTTCACAACTTATTCGAAAAATAACTCCTTAGCTGATTTAATGATGACATCTGCTCTTCGAAATTATAGATTTACCTGGTAGTAAAGTCCAGCGTCGTCAAAGTTAGACATATCCTCAGCGCGACAGTGACAGCAACCCTAATAAAACTCCTTTGTTACCAGCAATTCGTTATTGAATGGTACACACGATAAGGAATCAGCAGCAGAAAACCCGTGAGAAAAGAAGGAATGGAACTGACTACTTGATGCTCGTCGGGGAAGTAGAACGAGAGTGCCCAGTCCCGTGCAATGAACAAACTTTCCCGCCAACTAAAGGTTTCAAATTCGCGCCGCTTATCTCTCATTGTTACTGGGGCACGTTTGCTCAGTGGCTTCAGTAGTGCTTCTGAAAGTTCACGCTGTATCCTCCACGCTCTCAGGGGATCGGTCGCTTTGTGATTGACGTTTCGTAGCTTCGCATCTCTCATTGGATGAGCTTTTTGTTTCTTAGCGATACTACCCAAAACTGAACTGTTAGAATCTTAGGAGTTTGTTGTTATTGTTCAAGCTGTAGTTATGAGTTTACAACAGAATGAGAAATTAGCAGGGATTGATGAAATCTTAAATCCTCTCTTTGATGAAGACACGGGATGCATTATGAGTGACAGCTCCAAATCTGTTACTTACAGATTTACTTTAGAAGAAAGTAAGCCTACAAATGCAACATTTCAGAATCCAGTTAGGCTGAATTTGCTTCAGAGGTCTATGCAGTCAAAGATATTCATGATTCATTTCCTTGTTTATTCAAACCAAATGACTTTTTGAATCAGTTAATGATGAAGGGACGGACCCACGCAGCCAGTCGATACATCAGCGAATACGACGCTCTAGTTTCAAAAAAAAACGAGCCCAGTGGTAAGTTTAATCCAACTCTGATGAGATTAGAAGTTCGGCCGAGTTGATTATGGTCCCACAGAAGATAAGCGTTCGACATGGTTTATCTGACCATGGCACCAAAGCCCCCTTCTGGCGCTACGGTTGGGCTATAAGATGTTTTGTGGAGTGCTTCATTAACCAAATGATAATCCATCCCCGGCTGAAGAAAAAAGGCGTTTGACCTGTGTAAGCATGCGACCCTCTACCTGTACATTCTGAGTTACGTTCACATATTTCTAATAGAGTAAATCCGTTCTTCACGATGGATTAACTAAATGAAATAGCTGATTAATTTTGAGCTCCACAGTTTGTAGAGGTGAAGTGTGGAGATATGAAAGCCGTGTATAAACAGATTGACCACTTTTTCTATGGGATACTGTTAAGCCTATCTGTCTGTTTAGGAGGTAGGCAGAGACGCAGGGGCATCGCTGGCGAGTTATCTGGTCGCAGGCAGCGGTCTTACGAGTGCGCGTCGGCTCCCTAACACAACCGTGGATACGCAGCCCCACGCTCACCACACTCACGAGTCCACCCACCCAAGTTCGTCATGGTTCCGCAATAAGCCTTTCCGTGTTGTGTCTCTGCGTCTCTGTCTTCTAGACGATTTGTTTAAAATTTTAGTCAAAAACGATGCTTGAAGTTTTAGTTGAAAACGATGTAGTTTTGAAATAAGCCTTACTAGGGGAAGAGAACGGTGGTGTGAGGAGGTTTGTGTGATAAGCCGGGATCAGGTAAGGTTTTGACGTTCAATTTACTCACCTACCTCGGTGTTCCTTCCTCCTAAGGCTTAGTTCAAAAATAACCAAGTTCCCCTGCTACGAAGCGTTCCTAAGCACCAGTATGGCTCGCGTAGTCGGCTACTCTACCTTCTCTGCGCTGTAACGCTTAGTGCATACAAGAGCGGGTTCCCTCTCCCTCTAATTGCATGTTCTTGTGAGAACTTCGTGCCTGACGGTACTACGGCTAATTCTGTAGGCTTTTGCTGCGATAACATCGCAGTTCCCATCTAGTGGTCTGATAATATTTCTATAGTGCAAAAGTACAGTCATCGGTGTATGTTTCGTGAAATTCTTGCAGCATTGTACCCATACGTGACGTTTCGAACTACTTCAAAGTGATGGGCTTCGTGTCTATTTTTTGAATAGAAATACATAAGACTCATGTTTTTACAGTTTCGCCTTGCTGAACAACGTGAGGGACTCATTTTGATGAGGTGTAGTCATAGCAATCCTGTTGGAGATAGGCTAACTTACCTGATTTCAGCTGGGAGGGCTTTAGCGTTTGAGAATTTTGAGAATTTCGCCGAATCATTGGCAACAACACCAGCCTTCACTTGTGAACATTGTGGCCTGTCGTACCTCACTCAGCGTTGGAGATTAGGTGAATTGCGTGCTAATTGCAGTTCAAAATCATATCTGTTTGGCTGTTCTGTGTCGTCTCGATTGTATAACCATAAGTTCTTACTATTCATTACCTTCATCTGCTAATGTTAAGCGCTAGCCGACAAATTTAACGTAAGTTGACTTTCACGCTGGTGAGTTGTCAACTTTGAATTGCCTCGAACTTTGCTGTGCCGGGTCTATGAATCGAGAAGTGACGGTGTAATTTTTTTCGTGCATAGTATTTGTGATTATTTTAAGAGCCTTATTTTACAGCCACAAGTCTGTTTTCATGGCGAGTGATGTAGCAGAAGTCGAGCAAGACAGATTTAATCGTGTAAAACCCTTTAAGCTACTTCTTTCAGAACTCTTCCTTACTAAAAGTCACAAGTCAGGGCCTTCTTCATCGCTTCTCTTATCAGCGGAGGCCTCTCTCACAAGTCGCTGGCCTGCAGTAGAATATAAGTTGACGGTGAATTCCTGCGATTACCGTTTCCAAATTTTGCCTCATACGTCTTCTTGAACTAATAAAATGAATACCGATCACGAAGCTTGTCAGTCACATTATGTAGAGAAGCGGGCAATCTGTGCTCAACTTAATCTCCTGCTCTACTCTGAAATGAAACAGTTTGGCAGCGAATAAGCACAGAGAAAGAGGCTAAAGGCGAAAACTGCGTAGAACTGCCTTTCGCTCCCAAATTTGGGCAATTATCTTCGCGGCATCAGTGGCCGCTTTCAGACTTCGACGACCGTCCGTCCGTCCGTCCGTTCAACGCATGCGCGACGGCGGTTCTAGAAAGGTGTTGACAGCGTCTGATCGGTATTTGGCGCTGTCAACACCCTTCTAGAACGGCGGTCGCGGCACGCACGCGACCGACGTCGCGCACGCGTTTAACGGACGGACGGACGGACGGTCGTCGAAGTCTGAAAGCAGCCAGCAGGAGATGTTTGAGACGGATGCGTAATTCGAAGTTGTGCGCGGCTGAGCATTTTTGTCACAGTATTGGCTAGAAGCGGTTCTAGCCAATACTGTGACACGCTGGTAGAATTGACGAAGTATGAAAGCAGCCATTCACGGGACTTTTGAATCCGTCTTGTGAAAGTAGATCATACTGGGTGCATCCATACAAGGTGCAATGGGCGGCACTTCGGAGTCGTCCCTGGCACCAGTCTACGACATCACCAGTCATTAGCTCGCATTCGATAACTCATGGTGCGGGATCTATCTGAGATGATCATGTTTTTTTTCTCTTCGCTCGATGCAGATTTTGTTATGATTTTTATTTTTTTATCGAGTCCCATATCGGTGACCGATCTTCTGTGAGGGAAGTGTTCGCATGAGCTTATTATTTATCACTTATTTTTTTTTGTCCCTTTTATCTTTTATCTCAGCATTTCGTTGTGGGAGGTTTTCTATTTCGTTTTTTCTATTCTATTTTTTCCTGCTTTGAATTCTAGATAGTACTGACGTATTTTGATTTCAAAATACTTACTTATACTTTTATGGCTCGTCTTCACTCATGTGCGAGGACCAGCAACAAACCATTCGCTTCTGTCTTTCGCGATCGCCATCCACGGTAGATTCAGGATTCGACGAAGATGGCGATGTGAGGAGTCATTCAGCTGCTGTCGCAGTTGTTTCACGTGATCGACAAGCCCCCCCCCCCCCTCGGTGTTGCGTGAGTCGGTTGAAAGGACATCGCTCGAGCGCTCTGTGACTTGTATTCAAAGCCTTTGACGTGGATGCACTGGTCACCCAAGTCTCCGACCCGTAACAGAGCGCAGGAAGAACTGTGAAATCGAACAGATTAGCACGACGTACCGGGTCAGCCAGATGGTTGGTGACCTCTTTCAGAGGTCCGAACGCTT